TGAAAATATATGATTACTAACCATATCTCCAGCTGCAACCACTTTGAAGATAGTGCTGAGTGGGGGGGGGGGGGGCATTATATCACTTCTTCAGCTAACATTTAGCTGATAATCTACAAAACACTAGAAAAAGCGTTGCATGTGTTTTTTTGACAGAGACAAATCAAGAGCATATTTCCGTTGATGGCTTCACCACAGAGGACGTGATTTATCTCAATGCAAAAAACAAAGTCATTTCACCGGGACCTGTCACAATAACTACTTTTGTTGGAGGATATATTGCAATAACTGATATCATTGTAAGATAATTTTGTCCTACTGATATAATAATTAGATAATCAGGGCTCAGCACTATCTTTAAAGTGGTTGCAGCTGGAGATATGGTTAGTAATCATATATTTTCAGTGATTAAGATACTATGCAGTTATACGTCAGCTCAATAATAAAAATGTGACAAAAGAATAAAAGCTTCATTAAAGTAACTGAACGGAGTTCCTGTTTTATCCAATACTTAATACAGAATTTTAATTTGAAGTGTTATCAGTTAACAGATAGCTACACACAGGCAGCGTCATCTGGTTCAGGCTCTGACTGCAACAGCAAGATCTAAATATCACAAATGCAACGAATGTTTCAAAATGGATTTGTTTAGCTCTTTGCTGTTGATTACATGTTGATAAGTGGATGCATCACATAAAGCAACAGCAGATATGAACGTGCCATCTATGTTCTCATCTAACTCTCGACAAGAAAGTGCATTAGCAAATGTACCTAAATGTCTGTTTAGTTAACTTAGAACACATCATCCTCTTTGAGTTCGTCCATCTTGATGACACCCTCTACATTTGATTTGGACAAACAGTTGAAAGTCAAAGACAGCCAACACTAATGGTGACACTTCTAAAACACTAGATCACCGACACCACAGCGGAGACATCAGAGGATCTCGCTATGTCTCGCTGGGTACCTCCACCAGGAGCCAAAACACGTGTCTGATAGCCATCTTTAATTTTGTAACAGAGAGCAATATGTGCAGTCATGGTAAAGGGAGGCGAGTGAAGCATCATGGTCCATCTGTTTGGGCAGGGTTTCCCTCAGTTGTGAGTAGTGGAGGTCCGCTGCATTTCCTGTTTTGATGGCTGTGACTGCTAATGTCAGGAGTGGGTACAGTTTTATAAAGTAAAACTAAGAGCACAACATAGCAAAGACCATTTATTGAACTGTTTGTCGCCTTGTCTCTCGTGTTTGTAGTGAGAACTCCTCAATAGAAGTATAGGACTCTTTTGGAAGAAGACAACAAGGCCTTTCCATCAGCGCCACCTGATTAGGACAATCAAATCATTTTTGTTGAGTACTTTCAGCTTCATTGCCCTCTTGGGAACAAACTCTGCAACTCAATTAAATTAATTGATATTAACTGAGGAAGCGGGAGGAGTCTCATTCAAATCCCTCTGGACCGAAACACCATAACAAGCAACGACATGGGACCTCGACAGGACTGCGACAGCTCGGGCACATCTGCACGCTGTGTGCCGAGTCTGGCCGAGTGTCTAGTGTCGACACGGGGAAATGTCAGGGTGAAGTCACCACTTGGCACCCCCAAAGCCCACAGCACCTTTCCTTAAAGGCCAGGGCACGCCGGCACTGCTGCAAGGCCAGCTCGATGCAGCAGGTCGGTGGGGGGGGGCAGGATGCTCTAAAGGAAGCAACACATGATGTGTAATGACTAAACACAGTTTGATAAAATGGCTTTTAGGCAGGCAGGAAAGTACCTCTTCAGATACACAACAACAACAACAACAACAAAAAAAAAAAAAATTTAAATCACAAAATTCCAGCCACTTCCAGTGTTTACTAGCCAACGCAGCTCCATCTTTAGCACAGAATAGGTTGTCCAGATGGTGGCTGGTGGGGTAAACCAACTAAGCAGCCGCAGCCAAACTTAACCACCATTTGACTGATTAACTGCCATCCTGTTTGTCTGCCTCTCTACAGTGGGCCAAACTGCTGCCTGTTTAACATTGTCGTTTCAGAAATAGATAAATAAACAATACAAGATGCCAGCAAATGTGCCAAACGGCCCTTCTTTCCAGATACTTGTGTTGCCGGCTGAATCATAAATGTGTCTCGTTTCAAGGGGCGATGATTTGCTCCTGCACGGCCTCAGACCGCTGCAGCACGACTTTCAGGGCTTTAAGAGACATGCAGGCCAGCCAGGCGTGCTCCGGCAGCTAGCTGGGCCTCTGCGCCAGATTAAAAAAAAATATATATATATATAAATTAAAAAAAAAAAAAAAAAAAAAAAAAAAAAGGTGAGTTGTTCACATTCCTGCTTCATGCACAAACCAAACCCCCAATGTCCCACACACACATCCATCATCCTTTTGCACAAATGATTGAGTTGCTTGCTTGCTTGCTTGCTTGCTTGCGCGTGCGTGCGTGCGTGCGTGCGTGCGTGCGTGCGTGCGTGCGTGCGCGCGTGTGTGTGTGTGTGTGTGGTCCTCCTGCGTGTCGTTTTCTCCGACTCTGCTTTAACCAGGGGAGTGGGAAAAGTTTTAAAAAACTATTCAAAACATTCTGGGTATGTGATCTCTATGCTGCTGCGCTGGAAACAAAACACAGATCTTTACCTGATTATGACAAAGTATGTCTGACAGACAGCTAGGTTAGTTATCAACAAACCTTCACATACACACTCCCATAAAAAAGGAAACCAATATGGCATGCGAAGTGGCTGCGAAAACAGAAAGTGAACCAAAGAGGGTTAGGTGCACTGACAGAGAGGCTTCTTCCTGACGTAAGCGTGCGTTTCCATAAGAATAAATGGTAGCCTGGAGGATAAGGACATCTTTATGAGATCTTTCCTGGATTGGTATCAAAACTCTGACTGGGCCTGTTTAACATCCTCCTCACTACAGTAAATATCCTTCTGTGTGTTTGGTTACTTCTTTGCAGTCGTCTGCCTTGTACCACCTTTTTGTTTTGGGTGACATGACACTGATTAATGTGTGTTTCTTGCCACTTAAACATGCTGTCATGTGTGTTTCATTTGCAAAAACACAAGAATAAAGTGGCCTTGTTTTTAGTTTGAGGGAGGAGAGAGCAGGCCAGCTGAGCCTCACTACTACTATAAAAGGAATGTGATGGGGAAGGGAGGGCCACTGCACCACCAACACGAGCAGCCTATCATCTGACCAGAACAACAAAACTAATAAAGACAGGGAGGCTGAACACCGGCCAAACAAGACGAAATAGACTTGCTCACCCCATTCCAAAAACTCCAGGATATTCTTCTCTCTTCTGATTGGGGAGTTGTTGCACTCATCGTAGAGGCAGACCAGGATGTCCAGCAGCGTCTCCACACTCAGACACTGGCCGTTAGACTGGGCTGGCCCGTCCAGGATCAGCTTCTCCAGCTTCTTCAAACGCACCTCTCCCGACATGATTATTCCGGCTTGCTGGTTTTTGAAGTGATGATGATTATGATAGAGGGGAAATGAGCGAGCACCTCCTCGGCCTGTTAGTTAGCACACAGGGCCTGTAGAGAAGTTATGTCACCTTGAATGTCTCGACAATTATAAAACTTTAAGTTGAGGACGAGCCGGGGGATAAATCCGCGTCAAAATCGCCCAATTCATGATCTCCCTCGAGAAGACCCAGTAACTAAGACGCGTAGCACTTCCCCATTTAGTAATACCTATCCCCACAGGGCATTTAGGAAAAGAAGTAGTTTATTACAATCACAGACCCTGGCTGCCCCGGGCCGGCTGATTTCGATGAAATCCCAACGTAGGCTGGCAGTTTTCTGGTCTTCTGTGTGAGAAATGGAGAATAAATGGAGTCGAGGCGGTTCAACAGATCCCCCTGAGTTGTTGTGGCAGATATTTGGGATTCTCCATTCTTGCAGTAACCCCCCAAAAAATGCAGGGCAGATCTGCAATGCTACAAAGCCCCAGCGCCCCTCCTCTGCTCCAGGAATGGAAGGGCGACACAGGCTTAGTTAGCAGGCTGCTAGGTTAGCCCTGTAGCTAGCCAGCGAGCTAACGTTAACGTTACTTTTCCCCGTTCCTAAATGCCATCGTTGCCCCTTTTCCCCGTGAGTTGACAAACAATACGCACAGTGTTAACGCCGTTTCACTGAATGTGTCCCCTTTCGACAGTATTGGTTATTTCCCATCCAACTGGAAAATATTCCCTTGTTTTCACAACTCAGTGCTGGCAGATATGTTCTTTAAATCCCATTCTTCGTCCAGAAAACCAAATGTCTCTTTAGTTCCTTCACAGTTCAAACACAGCGATTAGCTCAAGAGTTCCGACAGCCCAACAATAAGTTAGCCGTCAAAAATCCAGGTCCCTTTTTTGAAGGTTATAGAGGAGCTCGTTTCACGTCAAGAGCAAAACTGTAGTCTAGTCTTGCTTATTCCGAATACGGGACTCAGCCTAAATTACCCCCGTCCTCTCCTCTCCTCTCCTCTCCTCTCCTTTCCTTTCCTTTGCTTTGCCTGCCTCCCCCGCCGGTCGGTCGCTTCGCTTCTTGTCGTCTTTGCACAGTCAAGCTACCAGCAGCCTGCTGCCAGAGACTTTCGACGGGGAAAGACAGCCGAGTAGACAGCTCTGTCCGCTACGTCGCACTGGATTGTGGGAAGTAGAGCTCGGTTATAAAATATGAATGAGTTACAAATGGACGCTTAGCTCGCGACACTACATGTACACATTGAAAACAAAACTTAAGAACCTTCTCAAAATACTTAACCTCTTCCTTACTCAATATATAATGTCTAAGCTGCAACGCCATACGTTTCGAGACCGCCGTGTTTTATATACCGTACATTTTCAACTTTCACGCATGCGTAAAGCGCTGAATCTTCAAGCGGCCATCTTTGACGCGCCATTCCTTGAACGCCTCCTTTTCCTTTAGAGCTGGCAGCATATCTTCCCACCATTATAGCATCTCTGGTTGCTGCTGCAGGCAAAATCCCAGATCATCATGGCGCCCGTCACAGCATCTGCTGTGCGGGAGGGGTGATCGGGGGTGGGGGCTGTCAATGTTGTGAATGGAAACTGCGGGCTGTCTGTCAGTCTGCTGGTGACGTGGTGCGGAGAGGACACATTTTCTGCAGAACTGGGACAACAGTGAGTGCTGTCCCTTTAATTAAACCTCTGCAATGGTGTAGTCTGCATCATTAATGCAACCTGTGCTGAGACCTGATGGCTGTTGCAGTGGGACACATTCAAACAACCTTCAGACAGTAGTCACACTTTGTGTGTGTGTGTGTGCGCGCGTGCGTGCGTGCGTGTGTGTGTTTATATATCAGTATAGCTTTGCATCTACGTGCACTTTTCAGGCCAACATGGCATCAGAAATGGTAACTTTGATAATTATGTGTGGTCTCCACAGGCCGTGACGGTGGCTTGTGTTCCCAATTTCATTTCATTTGAAAATGAGGAAATTATTATTGCATCTCTCATACTTCTGACTGCCCCTCCCATCTCTCAAGGTGTGTCTAGTTAGTCCAGCTGATCCTCTGCCCCTTGAACTGTTCTCACTGTGAGAGAAGCTTAAAAACTCTCTTTACATAAACAAGCTTGTGTAGCTTTGAGTTGTGTTTTCTGATGACCCTGTGTTCCTGCAGGCTGTCACACTTTTCATATGCACAGATCCATAAATGAGAATAAATCACACAGATCAATAAAGTCTGTATATCCCACAGACAGTTATCAATTGATCAAACTAGCTGCACAGTGGTTACCCGTTTGCACTTTTTTGTTTGTTTTAATGAACCTGTTGGAGAGGCCCCCATGCTAACAGTACCGGTAGCAGAAATGTCATCTTATAAATAATTAATAAATTACTGAGTAAACTGATATTTCACCCAACGCTATCAGCCACAGTGTGTTGCTCTGAACTATCATCCTTTTGAGGTGAGGTGCTTATCGCTGCTCAAAGTACATCTATTAATGGTTAACAGCCTGCAGCTGAACGAGTGTGTGTGTGTGAGTGTGTGGGGGGGTAGAGAGACTGGCATAGAAGCATAGTGTCACACACCAGCAAACATGCCAACATAACATTAAACACTTCTGAATTTCAGAAACGGTTTAAATGGATTCTTGCTGCAGGCCTCTGTAGTGCCAGGCAGAATGAAGAAATTTGATTTTTCATCATTATTACATTTATCTTTAAGTTTCCTTTTGAGTAACCTACAACTACAACAACGATACATTTAAAATGAATTTGAAATATAATGAATTAATGGTTTGGAGACAACACTGCACACTTTAAACAGCATCGATGGGGACTTTACTGAGATAATAGCCTATTCTGACTGAAAGCAGGGAGCCAGATAATAATAATAATAAAACAATTTGCAACATCTCCAGTCATATTATACATATAGATGTTATTTATGTATTATGTCTTTAAAATGTATTATAAATAAGGTGAAGAAATGAATGAATAACAATAAAAAAAGGAGATAAAAACAATCAAAATGGAATATTTAAAAAGTAGACAATAACATGGATCATTACAGTACATGCAGTTATAGTGGAGTTCAGGTGCATAATTCATAACGGAATATAAAAGTGCAGTAGAGAAATTATGTGAACGGGTGACGTATTGAGTGTAGTTTCCGGTTTGAGAAGAACCTTTTTTAAATCGTTCCTTCACTGTCCCAAATTACACAACGCAAACAGAGTGTTTAGGGTGGATGTTCCCTTTAAAGCTGCGTATAGCGTCACTAGAGCGCCCTCTGCTGTTCAAACAGCCTCCATGCAGCTGTTAAATGAGGGGGGGGGATTTACTCTGGTATTTACTATACATGTTTTATTGTGTGCGCTTTAGGGTCGTTTTTTCCTTTTGCGTGTAGATATTGATCAATTTATACTATTAACAGACTATATTTTCGTTTATTTTGTGGATTTATGCAGAACTTATACAGACATATCATCCACCAGAACCTAAATATCTAGATGTGTCATTTTTTTAAACTTATTTTATTGGTTGGATCCGGTTCATTATCAGTATCCTGCACACTAAAAGTCTCGCCTATGTCGATTAATTAAAAGTTAATCCTAAATATTAATTGTTAGTCCTATCTAATCACGTCTGATTCTATTTGGCTACGTCTGCGCTAAACCCTCCGTCTCTGCGCTGATTGTCCGCCATCAGCTGTGTGAAATGCAATTAGACTGCCCTGTACTCTGTCTAGCTGTGGAGGCCATTGAGCAATACTTGTATTGTCCCTGCACAGGTCTAGCGCTTTCGCCTCTGACAGACTGCTCGATGATTATTGGCTGCCGGCTCGATGGATGGATCCAGACTGCGTCTAGAGTGCGTCTTTATGACGTCTGCAGCTGCGGGGGAAATAAGAGGGGGTCTGTGCGAGCCATTAAGGTGCAAACTAGAGCGCAGGTTCATGTCCCCAAATATTTGATATTGAGATAAAGGAGGCAATAGCAGATCAGGAAGTCGGTGACAAAGCAGCCACGTGAATAATGAGGAATTTGCGCTGACCACCAACACAAGTTCAATATTGACTCTTTGGCGCAGCACCGCCTTGTTGCCAGGGAGACGCCGCACGAGATGCTGATGTCTAATGTACAAACAACCAAACTGAAGCCAGCTCTCGGGGGCTCCCGGTAATATTTGTCTCAAGTAGAGTTTAATCTGGGCCCTCTGCAAACAGCAGCCCTGCCGAGCAAAGGGGATGCCATGTTTCACAAATGGAAGGGAATGACCTATAAATTGGACCGCTTTTGAATGCAAATGCCTGGATGTTAATTAACACCTGAGTTGTTGATTGTGGGAAGCTTGTTGGCCTTTGATTGAAAAGAAATGGCACCTGGGAGCATCAGATGGAGCTTTGAACTGGGCAACTTGTCTTTGATTGGCATGGGAAGGAAGAAAGACTGAGAAATATCACACACAGGGCATCTTAATTTCCCGAATTAGGGGTTGTAATGTGAGGGAGAGAGGATAACGCAGGGCTCCTATAACAGGAACTTCGACTTGGCCCTTGGCTGGACTGGACAATGAGTGTGCTCTGAATTTACATGTCTGCACCGATGATTCTGACTTCAGGTGATCCGGTGGAGCAGTTTGGACCTCAGCTGAGGGCTTGGACTCTGTGTTGTGATGATGTTCATATTCAGGGGTCTACTTCTTTATAACCAAATTAGATCATTTAAAAAAATTAACAATGAGAGGAAACGTTGCCATTTTTCATTCGTCAGTATTTGGAAAAACCCAGATCCTGCCTGTAAAAACATAACTTAACAGTGTGCATCTCTGGCATTATTTACTGTTTTTAAAATATAATTAAACATAATTTTACATGCAGTATGTAGTTTTTCCTTCTTGTTGTAGGCCAGGGGAAACAGGTTAAGATTAGCCTCTTAGGCTAACTCTTTCAGTGAAAAGCTTCCATCATGGATGAGACCAAGGATTATACAACATGCACGATTGCAAATAGCTGTTGCAAATTTCATTTGTCCTTTCAGTCACACAAAAAGAGAAAAACTTTTGGTGTGCTTGGTTAATTAAAACACAAATGCAACAGCACCAAGACCATAACTCTGCAATGAAGTCATTAGTCTGAACTCTTTGCACACACACTTTTGGATATTTGTTTCATACTGTGAAGCATTGCTGCATCCTGTGATTGTAGCACACATGGGGGTTGCGTTGTGCGGTACCAGGCCTACAGCAGATCATAATTTGTCTCGCTTGTAAGCTGCAGGCAGTATAGCTGGAGCGAGCGGAGGTCTGGCAGTCATCTGTCATTTGCTCTTCCTGTGTGCCCCTTCAGTCTGTCTGACATCTCTAAGCAAACACGACCCAATACACAACCACAGGCCGGGCCTTCTGGGCAGCCAGCGAGAGCACCCCTCTTCTAATGTTTGTGTGACAAAAAAGGCAAAGGCAAATCCTCGCAATGGAATCAGATAATCACCAACCTGTGAAGAGCCTGCCCCAATCCACATCCACCGCCGGCCCCCCTGGATTAACTGTCTGTTTGGCTAATAATTTTAATCTGCCCGAGAGGGCCAAGAATGGGTGACAGGGCTCGGAATAAACATCTAATCCGCTGGTCCCCCCTCCTCCCTTTTTAGAGCTCTGCACCACTTCCTCCTCGACCCCCTTGTTATACACATGTGCCAAAAAATGATCCGACTGGAATCGCTTGCTGCTATTTTGCCCGATCTTCAGTCCACTTTTTTGCCGGACAAAAATTGCTCTCCGGCCACCCAGACAGAGATAAGGCCGCTGTGTGACAGACTGTTGCCAGACTGACATCGTCCAGTGGAATGTACACATCAGAGTGTGAGGTGTGTGTGTAGACAAGGGTGCTACTGAAGACAGAGGGCACTTCAGGTTCACAGGGTCAGGAGATGTCTGTCTGGGATGCATGTGTAGCAGCACAGAACACACTTCAGACAAACATTTGGAGAAATAACCAGCTATGACTAAATTACCAACACTATTCAGATTATACTAAATTGAATGGACACAGAAGTGAATTTGGGTAATCCGACAGATGGGTTGTTGACATTAATAATCATGTTTGTAGTCAGTTATATTTTGTTGATCATTGTATCA